TTTGGACCTGTTGTTAATAGAAAGAGAGACTTTAAGGACCGGTTCACTGCGAGAAATATTCGTGATGATGAGGCTCTCGCGAACCTCGTGAAAATTTCTCGCATGCGAATAAAAGTTGGTTTACAGTAATTCATGTATTATAGAAGCTCAGATTTGAATTGTATGTCCTTACTCACTTATTACATCATTAAATTATATCTTAAACTTAAAGCTGCCAATTAGTAATTTTTATTTTTAATAAAGAATACACTTCTTTTATACATGTATACGTGTTATTTCAGCTTTTGCCATATGAACAGACAAGTTTGCTGCAGTTAATAAGGACAGACAACAAGATTTTCAACAAAATCATCACAGTTCTGGCGTCCCTGTGCTCGGAGATGAGTGCTCTGATACACGAGGCTGAGAATAAATTCTTCAATGCACTTATCTTTTACGGAGAAGGAGGTGCGTGATACATTACCCATGATAGTAACATTACTACATTCTTACTTCTGTGTGAAAGAAATTTATTAAATGCTCAGTATATTAACTTCAGTGAAAAAAAAACAAACAAACAAATATGCAAACTTTCATGCATATGTTCACATGCCATTGATAGGTAACTAAAATGAGTAAATACTACATATATACTTCATGTTCTGCTGTCAAGCATGTCAACAGTTCTAATATTGCGTGGCAGAAAAGTTTGGTTCAAATACCTCTACAGTAAAACTCGGTTAAAAGGGAGGTCACTGGGACTTTGAATTTCACCTCCTTATAATGGAGATTCTTTATATGTGAATAAGGAACACAGTTTCAAGTTGCCTGGGAGATTCATAAAAAATTCCTAAAAACTTCTTGTATTTATCACCCCCCTGTGAAACACATTTTTGGCAAGGTATTTTCTTTTCTTATCAGAGCCTGAAAAAGGTCTTGCTGAGGGAGAAGCCCAAGTACAGATAGGGCGAATCATGCCATTAATTCAGGTAGACAAAAACTGACTACACTATTTTTAAGTGCCATTGATTTCATGAAGTAAAACTTACTTGAATACATGGTAGACATTATAATTATTGTAATTTTAAGAAATAATTTCAGAAATAATTCACTGAATCATTGTCATATTTGTTTATAGGAGCTTTCCTGCTTTGTAAATAGAACCAATGAAGTAGTAAAGAATGTCATTCAGCAGTTTGCTTGTCTGTTTTCTGTAGTAAGGTAAATTAAGATTCATTACAATCTAACAGTTCTGTATACAATATTTATGGGAATGAATTGGGCAGCAAATGTTTCCTATTCAAGCCTCCAACTTTACAGCCTACATCTCCAAAGAAAAATGTCAATTAAGTCAAAGACTGCTTTTCACTTTTTTCCCTATGTTCATTTCATAATACAGTGTATTAAACAATTAAATAAAACCTTACTTTAGTTGAATTCTGTGCTCCAATAATACTTTTTTTTATTTTTAAGTACATGTTTATTCAATTATGCATTGGTATATGTCCTTTGTTTAATTAATATTTTGGTCTTACTAATTTTAGGCTGATTTTACTAGCCATACAATAAAAAAAAATAAGCATTAAACCCTTACATAAATTCAATTGATTCTGCACCGGATAATAAGCTTTTCATTTATTGGATTGACTGTTTATAGGAATGGTCCTAAGCTGTTAGATGTCAGTGATGTCCACTTTCAAGTGGTGTATGAACATCTCGGAGATCTACTTGGGGTGTTAATTACACTGGACGAAATCATCGAGAATCAGGCAACACTGCGGGAACACTGGACCCTGTACAAAAGGTGAGAGAGTAGACAACTTCAAAGGAACTATAGATCACTTTTTATTAGTGAAAACTTCATTTTTACTTAATTACATGTGTCAGATCCTTTGCTTGCCTTAATTTCGTTCTCACATGCATTTTTTAGTACCGGGTAAAGATAATACACAGCAATAACCAGATTTCGAGTAGATTTGATCCCACGAAAATAAGTTCATGCAAAAATTTGTTGATCTACAATATTCTATATTTAAGAAGGCAGGAATGCAGTTATTCTGAGCTTTTGCCATCAACAGTCTATACAAATACTGGTTAAAATGACAAGATACACGTATGATAATTAAAAAGAACAGTTGTATAATTGTCTTTTTATGTAATGTTGAATCATTAATGAATACTGAATAGTAAAATTTTGTCGTTAGATGTTCAGTTTTCAGTCTTGAAATATTCAATTATGACACCATTATTCATGAATGAAATTTGATTTTGAAAATTTTTAAAATTATTAAAGCAGAATACCATACATGCAGAAACTGTTTCAATGTTTTCTAATTCATCAATAAAATTACTCTAAGTATCAGTATAATATGAAGTTCAGTCCTTACACATACATGTATTACTAAGTAACCATTTGTAGAATGCTGAAATCTGTCCACCATGATCCAGGGAAATTTGGAATTGCTCCAGAGAAGATCCGGCCATTTGAAAAATTGATCATGAAGCTAGAGGGCCAGTTGTTGGATGGAAGAATATTTCAGGTGAATATAAAGAGGAAGTCAGATGTTGGAACTATTGATTAGAAATTTTGTTGTTTTAATATACACATACAAATTTTAACCACATATTCAAAATCATTTCCCTTTAAGTTTTTACCCAAATTAATTAATTTTTTAAGCAGTTTTGATAGAATTATGAAGTTTACAGTGGTTTTAAATTATACTTTGTACAGGACTGTGTGGAACAACCCTTTGACACCCCCACTGTATATGTCAGTAAAAACCCAAACCTGGCTGAGGAGTTTGCAGTCAGCATCAAAGATTACTTAGCAGAGCTGGAAGCCAGGATAGGTATGCTATTTTATCTTGAGGATGTTCTTGACAAGGGAATAACTTGTATTAATCTGATTTTTTTTTTGGGGGGGGGGGGGGATTTTCTCCCCAGTAATATGAATATTAGTATCCAGAACTTTAATATCTTGAATATCATGGATATATTAAAGTGGGTTAGAAGTCTCAGAAACTTTTTCAATGCATTTTTAACCTCAATATGTAGAGTCCTCAAATATCATAATTTTTTTGTCTGTTTTCCTTGAGTTTGAGATAATGAGGTTCAACTGTATGCAAATGGTAAAGGGTCATTAAGTTAAAGGAATGCAAGTGAACATGACCCACTTTATTTTATCCTGAAATCAAATAAGGAATACATTTCAATAAGTAATGATAGAGATAAATTTATCTGTATAATTTCCTCATTACAGGAGAAGCTAATGAAATGGACCAGAGATATAAATTTGTGGGCCTATGTGGGTTATACATCTTACATTTCCAAATATTCAGGGTCATTGACAAAAAGGTCTTCAAGAGCATATGGGATGTGCATAAAAAGGTATGAAAACAAGTTTTTAAAATATTTTTCAAAATTACCTGAGTCGCTTAGGATGAGGTGTAAATTTTAATTTGTCTTCAAAAGATCTTCAGAAGAATATGGGATGTGCATAAAAAGGTATGAAAACAAGTTTTTAAAAAAGCATGAAAGATCACAGCTAACAAAATTAAGAATCAGTGCACATTCACTATTCATTGAAACAGGCAGATACTGTAAACCAATAATCCCTAAGGAAAAACGTTTATGCTATGCTTGTAAATTATTGGTTGAAAATGAAAAACATTTTGTACTTTACTGTCCTGTAAACTTAAAGATATAAAACAGATCACCAACACTTCGAATTGTTGGTGATCTATTTTATATTTTTAAGTTTACAACTTTTGGTACAGACCCTATTGAATACCGTTCGGTATCCACACGTGAGAGTCTTGCACAATTTTAACCTCAAGGTGTTGGTCTCCAGTTTTTCTTTGTTTTGTATTTTTGCTGTCCTGTGTATGACAATCTTCGATTTCAATATTGTGATATTTTTGATGATAAATTATACTGTGGTACTGATCCCATTAAAGAAATTGTTAACCCATGTGATTATAATACTACAATGTATCTATTTAGATAAATGCTTCATGCAGAGGAAACAATCCCAAGGGCTAGAAGGAACTATATAAAATTGAATTGCATGCAATTATGTTACAATATTTTTCTCTTTTTTTCTGTTATCTGTCATTTGATTTCTTATTTTGACTGTATGCCAACATGGTGATGTCAATAAAATGAATTGAATTGAAATATTTTTCAAAATTACCCGGGTCGCTAGGATGAGGCGTAAATTTTAATTTGTCTTAATATCCTAGATTCCTGCAATCCACCTGTTAGGAAACATTGTGTGGTTCCCTACTGAGTTCCTGTTAAGTAAGATGCCACAGGTGGACAAACTGCTGGACAGGAAGGCCAAGGATGCAGTGACTGCCACAAGGTCATCATGGCTGACCCAGAGACAACAGATGCTTACAAAGTAATGAGATACTGAAAGAATGAGAGAAGGAGAGAGACAGAGTGAAAATGAGTAGTACTACATGTAATTCCACATTCAAAAAATTATGAAATAACAATTAATTTATTAAACAAGATGTGTTTTTGAAACACTGATGCCCCCGTATGGCAGCTTTTGGCGAAGGTTAAAGTTTCTCAAATGCAAGTCAAAATCCAGGCCAAAAGATAAAAAATTTTAAATTTGAAAGGCCTAGCTGCAACTGTTCAAAAGTTATGGCGAAGGTTAAAGTTATTTAAAAGTAAGTAAAACATCAAGGTCAAGGTCAAAGTTGTTGGTATCCAAAGGAAGTTCTTATCACAAGGATTACATATGTAAAGTATGAAAGCCCTAGCACCAACCATTCAAAAGTTATGGCCAAGGTTAAAGTTTTTTGAAAGTAGGTCAAACTCCTAAGTCAAGGTCAAAGGGTCAAAGTGGTTGGTATCCAAAGGAAGGTCTTGTCACAAGGATTACATATGTGAAGTATGAAAACCCTAGCACCAACCATTCAAAAATTATGGCCAAGGTTAAAGTTTTTCAGAAGTAGGTCAAACTCCTAGATCAAGGTCAAAAGGTCAAAGTGGTTGGTATCCAAAGGAAGGTCTTGCCACAAGAATTACATATGTGAAGTATGAAAGCCCTAGCTCTAACCATTCAAAAGTTATGGCCTAGGTTAAAGTTCTTCAAAAGTAGGTCAAACTCCAAGGTCAGGTCAAAGGGTCAAAGAGGTTGATATCCAGAGGAAGGTCTTGTCACAAGGAATACACATATGACGTTTGAAACCCCAAGCACCAACTGTTCAAAAGTTATGGCCAAGGTTAAAGTTTTTCAAAAGTAGGTCAAACTCCACTGTCAAGGTCAAAAGGTCAAAGTGGATGGTATTCAACGGAAGGCCTTGTCACAAAGAATACACATGTGAAGTTTGAAAGCCCAAGCACCAACTGTTCAGAAGTTATGGCCAAGGTTAAAGTCTCATAAAATTTTGCAAAAGTGGGTCAAACTCCAAGGTCAAGGTCAAAAGGTCAAATATGATGGTACCCAAAGAAAGGTCTTGTCACAAGGAATACACATGTGAAATATGAAAGTCATAGCTCCAACCAATCAAAAGTTATGGGCAAGGTTAAAGTTGACAACAGACAGACAGACAAACAGATAAACAGACAAACAGACAGACAGGACAAAAACAATATACCCCAGTATCTTTCGATCCGGGGGGCATAAAAAATAAATAAATAAATAAATGATCACGCACGATTGCTTGAATTTAATATCCAATTTATTTTTTTGTTGTTGTCATAAGTATGTTTGTATTTTACTGATTCAGAATAACAATATCTTGGCAATGATGACAAGACTACCTTCAAATACATGTAAAATTTAAAATATATATATATGAACATTTATTTTTGAATTGATCCATCAGGAGCAGGTTTGTATATGGCTGTTGTGTATTACTTAATCAGTTCTCTAACTTTGGTGTTTCTCTAATTTCATATCTGTGGAATAACATTACTACATGTAGTGTAGAAAGCTTGTTGTGGTTTTTTTAGCACCAGACCCTGAACATACTTGTATGGTACATCATTGGTCTTTAAAGGCATGCACATCAAATTTCATGCAAATCTGTTTTTAAAACATTCAAAAACAAAAAAAATCAGATTTGATAAAGTCTACCTATAGAAATAAACAAATTGGAACTTTAATGCTGGTGATGGAAGAAATGATAATTAGTAAGAAAAAATTTTAAAGCCAAAGGCAACTAATGTTTTACACAGCTCTGTAGATACATGTATTTCCACTAAGTGAAGCACATGCTTTAGATTTCAGCATACACTGTTAAAATAATAATCATTTCTTACTGAACTTTTGATTACTCATTGTAGTTCTCTGTCAACAGTTTTAATGTGCATGTGTGACATGTTCATGAGTGTTTTGATATGACCACCAAGGTTTTGGATTCATTATTAGGGCCCCGCAAGGATTTGCGGGTGCCCTATAGTAATCACTCTGTCTGTCTGTCCCTCTGTCTGTCTGTCCGTCTGTCATTCTTCCGTCCACAAATTTTCTGGGTTTTTTTCAATAACTTTTTTTGTAGTTGACCAATTAAGTTCAAATTTGGTATGTTGGTTGAAGAGGCAGTAAGACATATTTTGATGCTAAGTTTGGTTCTGTATGTCATCCACTTTGGAGCTGGGGTGGTGGGGTAGATTCCTTATCTTTACATTAGAATGAATGCCAGGGCAAAGAGAGATAACTGCTGAGAATGTTCCTATTGTAAACTGTGAAAGCTGCAACTAGTCCCATGGGATTAATTAACTTTCCTCTTGAAGAAAATCCAAAGCATTATCTGTTTCTGTCAAATTGAGATTAATTAACACTTCTGTGCGCAAATGAAGTTTGTTTTGGAGTTAAGGTCAATTCCGAATGATTTACATTCTCTGAAATGTGGATTTGAATAATGTTCATACTTTATTTTGGTAAAATACACAATGAGTTATGATTTTATTAAATTCTGAAAACAAGATATACGTAAAGATATGTTTTTTAAATTTTTTTTTGTTTTTATTTATTTATTTTATTTATTTATTTATTCATTTTTTTGTTGCCGTATGTAAATTCAAGAATACTATTAATTACAACAGATAGTCCAATAATAAACTCATTCTGTCATTACTGAAAAAGTTCTTATTGTAAGCTTGGAAGAAAAGGATGTGAGAGCAGTACAATTAATCCCCTGGGATTAATTATATTGTCTGGGGCAGAGAATTTTCCAGGCTTATCTTTATTTGTCACTTTAAGATAAATTAACCTTTGTCTGCAGCTGATGTTTGTTTTGAAGTTAAGGTCAAGCCTGGGTGATATTTGCATTCACTGAAGGCTGGCATTTTAAAAAACGCATGCTTTATTTTTGTTTAAATATACATTTAATTGAGTTATTATAGCTACATGTATGATGTTTTTTACTGCCTTAATATGTAAATACAGGGATACAGTACTCTTTACAGGTTGTTGGATATTTAGGAATTATCTTGAAATTTTATAATACAGTTGTTATTGCATATTCTTCTTCATATATTTTTTAATTTTTGTAATCAATTAAAATTCTCATTCTGTAAGCTGCACCCTTATATTTCTACCCCTCGGCGGGGCCCTTGCTGACTGGTCAGTTTTCTAGTTGTTTATACATGTACATTGTATATCATGTATATATTCAGTATTATGTATCAATATGTTAATCATTTTCAACATCAGTAGACACAGACTTCATTCTTAAAGGACAAGGAGCTGCCCATATACATTTGTTTGTACACTGTAAATGAAAGAGCTATTTTTTGTTTAATAAATTAATAAAACACAGAAATAATGTTCTTTTATATCATAACAATTGGTGAATGGTTTTCATGTGATTCTCTTCAACCTAAATCTTAATAATAACCTATCTTTTCTTCAAAGATCATTTTTTAAAAAAATGGTTTGGGGATTTAAAAAAAATTATTCCTACATGTAATAAGAGAATTCTGTATAACAAAGTTCCATAAAAGTAAGTTCTACTGTATATTTCTTTGGTCATTCTAATACAGAGATGTCCAGAATTTCCACACTACAGTAATGGCCTGGATGGTAGAAATGGAGTCTAGCATGTCCAAAACAAACTCCTTAATGGAGGACCTTAACCACAGATGTGTGCTCTTCATACAGGTAAATTTTGTATACATGGCTACAGCAAACACATACTTTTATTGAATTCTTGCATACAGTGGAGTGATTTTCAATGACATACCTTTTAGTTTTAAAACATATGATGAACTTATTGGACATAATGAATTAACTTTATAATAAATCAAAATTTTTTGTCCTTAGTACTTTGCTATTAGCATGTACACGTATTACTGTAACAATAATTTGACATATTGCTTTATTTGCATTGGATAGGTTTCCACTTATTGCTGTATCCTTCACAATATTCTTATTTATTTTGATTAATCTTGCACAAACATAAAACATGAAATAAAGGAGGTTTGATGGATTTCAGAAAAGCTCTCAAATGACGATTTAAAATTGTAAGAATTTACTGGATTGTTTACTGTCACTCTAGGATACATGTAAATGTGACATTACTGGTCTTATGTATTAATCTTCCAGAAAATAAAAAAAAATATCTAATGAATTATTTTGAAAAATGAATTCAAAATAGGTCATTGTGTTGTAGGGAGTACTCCATGCCTATAACATTAGTCACCTGGTGAGGACGACTATGAACCTACATGTCGCCATGTCTAAACCAATGACCAAGTCATGTCTCCTCTCACTGTGTCGACTCATTGAGCTACTCAAGGTAATCCATCAGAATAAATTCACTCAGACATCTTCTTGTTTTTTCTTCTTGTTTTTTGTTTGAATTAAGAAGGAAGTTTCCAAAACACTGGAACATGCACATGTATGTCATCTTAAACTTTTGTAAGCTTCCCTAAAGCTTAATATGTAGCTATTGCATGTACATGAAAACAATTGACTCTGTGTTTGCATAATATCCATTTTGAACGAGAATAGGATAAATAGCAAATATTCAAACCGATGAAAGATTTTAAAATGTTAAATATCTCTTGTAGGCTATAGAACACACCTTCCATGGAAGAACTATGTTGATTGCTGAGTCAGTGAACCATATTGTACAACATCTCAGCTTCATCTGCCTCAGTAGTATTGGGGTGGCCAAGGTACGTTTGCACCTGTAGATTGGATGCTTTCAGAATGTATACAGTGTACATTCACTTGCCTTAGAAGTACAGCTTTTCATTAGAGATATCATTACCCCCCCCCCCCCCCCCCCACCACCACCACAATCACTCCATCACCCCACCACCACACACACATACACCAACTCCAAGGTATATTAACACCTGTAGATTGGGTGCTTTCAGAATATATACACTGTACATAAACTTATTTATCAAATACATCTTTTCATTTGAGATATCACCCCCCCCCCCCCCCCATCCTCCACACGTACACACACACACTCCCCAGATATACCTGATACTTATCAATCATGAATCTTTATTGAATAACTTGAAAAATATCAAAGAAGACTAAATATTTTTTTTATAAAAACAGAAGAGAATAACGTCAGATAAGAGATACAGTGAGAGACGATTGGATGTTTTATCTGCCCTGGTTCTAGCAGAGACTGCACTGAATGGACCAGGTAAATCAACTCCTATATTACATGTAAAAATATAATTTTCCCCATTTTCTCTGTATGTCTGCTTCCAAACAATATATGATGACTATATTTACAAGTTAGTTTTATTCAGTGCTATAATTGAAATTCAATATCTGATTTTGTATATTTTGATTTTGTTTAGGCACCAAGGAGAGACGTTTGATCACTCACCTGGCTTTGGCTCTAGGCACAAAAATGGTGATGAAAATGAAATTCAAAGAAAAAACAAAATTATAATATGTTTATTTGTATGTTGTAAAATTTTTTTTAATACTTGTAAAATGAAAATCACATCATAAAGAATTTATTTTTCCCAGAAAACCTTCAAAGATGATGAGTTGCAGAATTTGATGGGAACATTAAAGAAAATGGAAGTCATCTGTGATCTAAGGGAGAAGTAATTATTTTTTGACTTATACTTTTCTTCCTTAATAAATACAAAACATTTTAAAAACTTTTTGATGGCACCACTTCTGATAATGATTTCAGTAAGAAGTGAATTAGTCTGTAAGTTTTAGAAAATGTACTACATGTTTCTCTAAAATGAATGGTGAAATAAAATGTCCAAAACTAATGTGTATAAGAACATTACATCATAATGTAATTCTTAGAATGGATTAGCTATAGTTTTTCTCAGAAACTTAATTTAATATTTTTACTTTAAAACACATTTTTTTTATTATCATAATGTAAATTTTTCCAGGGTCAGACAGGCCTGTGACTGTACATTTTTTTACTGGCATCGAGTGATCCTCCCCAATTATCTCACAGACATGTGTGAGAATGTCACAGACACTCATAGAATACATGTGAGTAAAAAGTTGTATTACCTTCAAGATGTTCAATGTGGAATGAGTCATTAACATTAATTTTAATACAGTACTTGTAATAGTGAAAATTCAATGCCTGTAAATTCCATGTAATATTAACATTTTTCTTAAGGAAATATACATGTTTGTAGGTTTCTCCTCTGTTATTTTTGCCTCTCCATCATTAGTTTATGTAATAAGACTGTGTTTTTCAGTACATGTTTGGTGCCTTGAGAGACTGTGTTCCTAGAATGGCTGCTGTACGTCACATGGCATCACCAAGGGAATTGATGAATGCCTATGATAGAGAAGTCTATGAATATTTTAAGGAGGTACATTTTCTGAGTCTGTCAAATTTTAAGCACTTGTAATAATTTAACGATTAGTAAAGAGGAATTTTTTTTTTTTGAATTTGTCAAATTTTAAGCATTTTAAAATCCTTTAACTCTTTCTTGAAAAATTGAAACCAATTTTTTACTATATCAACAATTTTCCAAACTGGAATCTTATTTGCTGCATATATATACAGTCATTTAAATGTGATATATACATGGTATATGCAGGAGTCATGGTTTGGTACAAGCAAAGTCTTATTTTGTTTGAAAAGATAATTAAGTACTGTTTACATTCTCTATTTTCAGCACCTGTTGGATCCTTTGTGTCAGTCCATTGAGACAGACTTACGTCTACAGATCCACACTCATCTACAACTGGATGACAGAAATCCATTTAAAGTGGGTCTGAAGGATCTGTCACACCTCCTCAAAGTCCGACCAATCAGATTGTTTGATAGATTGATCAATATCAAAGGTAAATATAAACATCAACAACTCACTGACAGTAGACTTTAGTGTACAGATAATTGTAAAACTGTGGGTAAAATGTTTTGGAAATTCTATAAAATGCAGGGAAAGCTCTGTAAGGGACAACAGAAAAAAGGTAAATGACAGGAAAATATACTATATCAATGTGTAGCTTTAAAAGTGGTTATTTGATTGTCTTTGGAGATAAATTTAATATCAATAATTATTTAACTCTTAGTTAAGGTATTCATAGGTGATGGTGAATATCAAAGTGGGAGGGGGAACTTTATGGGAGAAATGAAAATATGTAAAATACAATTTAATGTAATAATTTCATTTATTGTCAGCTTATGTGGAACATTACCTGAACAAGACCTTCTACAACCTAACTACGGTAGCTCTTCATGACTGGAAGACATACGGAGAGATGAAGAATATGGCTCAGCAAAAGTACTGTTTAAGTCTGTTAGAATCCCACTTACCCAGCCAAACACTGGAACAGGTAGCTCAAAAATCTTATGATAAAGTAGGAACTTTTTTATAGGCACTCGCATTTAATCTTTGTAACATTTTTAAAGTCAGTTTGAAATTAAGATTTTTTCTTATGAAAATGGTACATGTATGTATGTAAATGTACATGTAAAACTATATACTGTTTAACGGGTATTTTATGCAGTTGGAAATTTTTGCGATTTAACCCCTAAAAGGTAGCAAATTAATTTCTGCGTTTTCAATTCCTGCAGATGCATTATACCGCAAAAATTTATTTACGGGTATGATCATTCACTAAACTTTATGAATTATCAGAACGCTGTCATGTTTACGTTTTATAAATTCTTTAAGACATATTGATCAAAGGTGTATGAGAACAGGTATTAAGCTATTAAGCTTAATTTAACTACTATCTTTTAGTTAGTTTTTGTAAAAAATATGTCGAGTACCAATTGAAATGAATTAATGCAGGGTCAGTCCACCCAAACAACAATAAAAATCTTTATTCTAACAGACGTTTTATGCGATCTATTAAAATATTTAAATAATTTAATATATAGATAATGATAATAAATGCATCCAAACCATGTTCTAAAATACACTTCTAGTTAATTGCCATCAAAATTAATTTGGTGTTTATATTTTAAGCTAAAACAAACAGTTGCATAATCTAGTACCCTAAAGTTGACGGTTAACAATCACAGGTGTCATGTGCATTGAGGCGTAACTAATCTTGTCAGTCCTATGCATTAGGTGAAATTCATGAGACAATCGAGCAACATTGTGTATACAAGCAGTAATTATTGTCTCAAGATAAAACACAAGATTGAGAAAAGTATTTAAAAAAGAAAAGCAACCATGTGTTGTTTGCAGCTATCAGAGTTTGGACTTATACATGTAATTGCAAAATAGGTACAAGAAAAGATGTTTTTGTATCAACTTGTTTAATTGATATTATTTACAGGAAGGTTTTGATTCAATATGTTTTGGACAAATCCTGACATCTAAAATCTTAGAATTTCAATGACACCCGAATTTTCTCCTAACAAGGACGTGGCCATTCCTGATTCTTCGACGCATCGATCTTAAAAACCTTGTGTTTCGAATAATTTTGCTTCGTCCAGTACGCAGATTCTTGCATTAATGAGAACCCTGTCAGACATACACACCACTTATCATAATTGCATGTATAAAATATCTGAATAAATTATGAAAAATATTTTGCGATTGCAATTTTTGCGGATTTGTCCTATCTGCAGAATTTCGCAAAAATTGGACAATGGCAAAAAATACGGTATTTTTATATATTAAACACAAAATTTGATATTAAATTTGATCCTGCATGAAATCGTTATGCAGAAATTTTTTTTTCAGATTTATAAATTGTTCATCTATTTTCATCACAAAATAAATTTTCTTTGTTTTAATTTACGATTTTGCATGATTTACTTGGCAGGGATTGGATGTACTGGAGATTATGCGTAACATCCATGTGTTTGTCTCCAGATACATGTACAACCTCAATAACCAAGTAAGGATTTTGTACAGCCCAATCATCATAAAACTTGCTCTGTTTCTCTAAGTTTTTTGAAATAAGTCAAAGAATCTTGGAACAATTTTAAGTTAGAAACAGACAAACTAGCAAATTTGAAAAAAGTGAACCATATTCATTTGAGTCCATACTGCAGGCTTGTAGCAGCAATTAAATATTTTTATTTTAACTACATGTATAACAAATTTTATCAATGAATATTTCAATAAATATACAACTTATTTAATAATAATGTATAACATTCAGATTTTTGTGGAGAGATCAAGCAATAATAAGCACTTGAACACTATCAACATCAGACATATTGCCAACTCCATTAGGACCCATGGGACTGGTATCATGAACACCACAGTAAGTTCTTATAAATAAAATATGTTTGTAATGTGAGCTTCGTCAACTACTTGAAATTGATTTTTAGAAATTAAGCAGGTTCACTAGAATATTTTTATACAAATGTACATGTTTGTATATTAAAGTTGAAAGCTCTCTATGGTAGATATATATTTTTTTTTTTGCTTGTAGGTCAACTTTACATACCAGTTCCTGAGGAAGAAGTTCTATGTATTCTCTCAGTTTCTCTATGATGAACACATCAAGTCAAAGTTGATAAAGGTATATTTTTTAAACATACATGTTTGTCACAGTTAAATGGTACAAGAACTTTAGAATTTAAGAATATATGGATTGCTGATTGAATCATGCATTGATTTACATGTATTTAATTTTTTTTTTATTTTTGTGTTTACATGCATGTTATTTTCTTTTACATAGGATTGGAAATTTTTCAAGGAAAACCATATGCAAACTGACCAAAAGGTAAATTGGGCTTAACTTTAACAAAACCATTTGGATACAAAAAAATTATGAATTTATCCACAGTATGAGGTCTAAAGAGATGCTTTGGAACATATTGAATAAACATACATGTGTAAAAAAAAAATTAAAGTTTAGGACTGATCACAGAATTTTAACAGAAAATTTAAACTTTGTCCATAGGAAGCTTTCAATAATTTTGTCTGTTTTGTAGTATCCTGTGGAGAGGGCTGATAAGTTCAACAAAAACATCAAGAATCTTGGCTTGACCCCAGATGGAGAGAGTTACCTTGATCAGTTCCGAACCCTCATATCTCAGATAGGCAAGAATTATGCTATAAAAATATATCGAATTTTACATTTTTTTAATGTAATTCTCCAAATTAAATAAAAAAATCAATTACTTTTCTTTTCTGAACCAAACAAAAAATTACAGTGAATTTTTTGAAATGATAAATGAAATCCTTTTACAGGGAATGCTATGGGTTACATTCGTATGATCCGGTCTGGAGGTCTGCACTGCTGTAGCAATGCCATCCGGTTTATTCCTGATATTGAGGATATTGTGAGCTTTGAAGATTTGTGTAAGGAGGAGAATTTGTCCATGGAGTGCCAAACTGCTGCCAAGTAGGTTCCTTCTTATAACTATGCCTTTCAACTAATGCTTAATATTTCTATAATTAAACATTGTGTAATGGTAACAGATGCAAAGTTTTCATTTCTAGTGTAACTATATAGTCATTCATTCCAGAGTTTGCACTGTGGAACACTTACGCATTCCAATTTCTATTTCTTTTCCTTGGGAAAAATGTAAAAGCCCAAAACTGAATGCTAAAATTAGAGGAAATATATCTATGGATCAAAGTCACATTAATCAATAGGTGATGCATTGTATTATGATGTTAAATGAAATAAACATGCAATAAATATCTTTTTTCACAGAAACCTGGACAATGTGGTTGGAAATTTAGCCAGAAATTTTGCAGAGGGAACTGAATATTTCAAAGTAACTATCAATTTTTTATAAATTTTCTGAAGAAAAAAGAAACATATAAATCCTTAATAAAGCTTTTCTAATAAATGGCATGATTTCTATTTCAGATGTTAGTGGATGTGTTTGCCCCAGAGTTCAGGAATCCCAAGAATATGCATCTTAGGAACTTCTTTGTAATTTTACCTCCACTGGTAAGAGAGTGATATTCAAGGGGGAAAACTCCAAGAAATAACCGTTTTTACTGTAACATATGAAAATACATGTATGTTTGTAATGAGTAGTTCAGTACAGATTTTCTCTTACAGACAGTGAACTTTATTGAACATTCCATCAGTGTCAAAGAAAAAATGAGCAGAAGGAATAAAGTTGGAGCAGCATTTACAGATGATGGGTTTTCTATGGGTAAGAAGTGAAAGGAGGTTTAAAAAGACTTGTTGAAAAGGCTGTTAGGATTTTTTTTTTTTTTTTTAGATTGTGTCCTTTATATGCTGGTGAAATGTTGACTAGAATGTGTACACATTATTTGCCTCAAATTTAAGATTTGGAAATATGTCATTACTAATGCTTTAAACCTAAAGTTAAAAAAAAATCACAAGTACACATAAACACACATCTGTCTCTATTTTTTAAGGTGATTCAACAAGGCTGTTATTTTATTAAGTAAACATATCTGGAAATTAATTCTCAATTTTTTTCTTCCAAGATTTGGTAAGATTTTGATAGATCAATAGGTCTGTCTTTTTGCCTTGTTCACGATTCATTTTGTTACTGGATTTATGAGGTTGATCACTTTTGTTATTTTCACCTTTTACATCAATTCATAGTTCATTTTTGATGTGTTGCTTAATGCGGTGGTGTTAGATTGTTTGTATACACAGTAGGAGGCAGTCAAGGATCTAATTGTAGTAAAACTGGATTCAAAGATATGGTGATTAATTTTTCATAATTATATGTATTACATTTACCAGGGGTGGCCTATATCTTAAAGCTATTGGACCAGTATCAGGAGTTTGATTCCTTGCACTGGTTTCAGTCTGTCAAAGATAAATACAGGACAGAGAAGGTTAGTGACTGAGAAACACTTTTTACAGTTCTAGATGTTTTTCATATGTTTAAAGCTTAATTCATTCAGCTCATTGTAAAAATGAATTTAAGTTTGAAAAAAGTCTCAGAATGCTTATATTTTTTTCCACTTTGAGAAATTGAAATAAAAAAAAAACCCACTAAATTTGAATTTTACTGTAATGGGCACACTGCATGTCCATGTGTATGCAAATTTGACCATTTGATATTTATTGTGACATTTAATGTTGTTTATTTTGTATTAAAGGAAAAACAAAAACAGGCCTTGGCCAGCAGAGGTGATGAGAAATCACAACAGACCATCACCTTAACAGTCAAAAGACTGGATCAGTACCAGCAGGTCTGTACATCTATACTTATCTGTTAATGAAAGTTTACCTACATGTACATTTATTTATGTCATTAGAGAAAAATTTCTGCAATGAAAACGGTTGTGCAGGAAGTTCCATATGAGGTAAATGTGATACAAAAAAATCCTCCTATGAATATTTTTGAAGACAAGTGAATAAAAAGAATCTTTAAAAAGAATTTTAAAAAACATTATTTGCACCTAGCATACATCTACATGTGTATGTAAGGGAGTGTGTATTTTTTACATTTTATTTTTATATACAAATCTTGTTAAAGAAGCATTCTAACAAATAAGTCTCTCAAAGAAAGTTTTATTTTCAGTACATGTACAATTATATGTACGTGCATTAATTGTTGTTAAGTTATCGCAGACACACCTGACTTGAATGCACACAATTTTAGGAATATGACCTCCTGAACTACTCTCTAAGCAGTGCTAGAATTTTCTTCCGTGCAGATAAAACAGCAGCAGAGGAAAGCGAAGAAAAGAAAGGTAGAAAAGTTCAAGTTTTTCTAACAATACCAATGTTTCAGTGCATTAAAAGATGCATGATTGAGAATCATCAATGCCAGTAAAAATAATGTGAAAGAGTTTGATAAATATGAAATCCATGCAATATTTATACATAATGTGAATAAAATATGGAATGTAAAGTTGCATTGAAATGTGTTTCCAAAGTTTTATTGTAATATGGCAGATTTTGGCTTCAGTAACATACATGTATGTGCTTTTGCAGAAGCAGGTGGGGAGCAGGGTGGAAGTTCTGACCAGTCCCCAGCCCCCAGTCAAACTACAGAGGCTCCAGCAGGTATCAATATTCTCTAGAGTTTATAATCTATAAATTAAATTAAATTTTTTTTTTGGTCACAAATATTTGTAATTTATGACATCATTGCTAAGTAGTCCATATCATACATGTATGTAGCTCTATATAATTTTTTTTTTTTTTTTTTGGTCGAATGTAGTGATCAACTAAAGTGGATTTTTTATTATAATTAATAGTAAGGCTCGAATTAAACCTTTATTACCGACCCATGTACAAATGAGCTGCAGTTAAAGAGATTTAAATGTTCATTGTTAAAATCATTATAGTCACTTTGATAACTTCCTTATTGGAATGAAAGTAATTTCTGAAGTCTGTGCCTTCATTGATAGTTAAAAAATAGTTACTAGGAGAAAAGAATAATAATTTTACAAATGCTGTATCAGATGTATATAATTTTTTGCACTAGCTACATGAAAGGATAAGGTGAGATGGTGCATGGTGTAGGGCATGTATACTAGTACTTTTTTCTCATTTAGATAGACTTTAGCATTTAGAACTTGAATGCAGTGTATTGATTTTAATATACATGTATCTGCTACATATATTATAGAGTGTTTACTTGCGAAAACTTTCTTTTTCTCATACATATGTATATGTACATGTGTACATGTATAATACTACATCACTTTATAGAAGTTACCCATGGACTAATAACTAGCTACTAATATAATATACTTACATCTGAAAACATTTATAATTAGTACAAATACAGTCTCTTATGCCAAAAATTATATTACATGCATTTTGATTTTAATTAAGTAACATGAAATTGCAAATTTGTTGTGTTAAATAGTATAAAGTAACATATAATTGCATTAAATATTTTGAATGTTCTTATGAGTAAACATTCAGAAATATTCTTTGTAATTACCAATTACTACATGTTTAAACAAGTTTTGTCATACAATTAAGGATATTTATAACATACAGCCAGTTACCTTCTGTAACAATGTGTAACCTATAAACTCAGGATGGTTTCTTTACATGGAGAAGAACTTTTATCACATATCATTGTTTGCATGGTTTGATTATGATTTAAAGTTGCCTAATTATTCTCTCCTGCAATAAGTTATGAAGGGTATATAGCATCTCTAATGTGCATGTGTAAGTTAGTGTATGGGTGTGTTTTAAAACTTGTAGGTAACTTAGGATCATCAAACTTTCTAATTGCAGATATTTTTACAAGTTTTATTTAGTCAAACCCTACTAATTTTTAATATCTTATGGGTGAATTATTTCTCAGGATAATATGTAGTTACAACTCAAATTCTATGAGAGTTATTAATACTGAATAACTACTTTTTCATAAGTTTTGTTATAAAAATTATAGACAGAAGAATTTTATATCATTTTGCAGTTACCATTAAATAACTCATATTCTAAAATTATTTACTGATGTGAGGGAATGCTCCATCTGGTCTTGTTGATGTAGTAATCTGCTTTGTAGTTGTGTAATATTGTACAATTACTGTAAATATGTCCAAATATATATATATCAAAGTGGAGGTAATTTGTTTAAAATGATAAAGAGAAAAAACAAAATGAACCCCAAAACAATGCATTTTAAACAGATATTATCATAAATGCATGTGCATATAGTGAATAAGATTTTAAATCATTTTTTAAATATTTTAATTTGATTTCAGCAAAAGTAGATTTGATGAATAGGCATAAAAAATTAAGCCCATGAAAACATTCATGATTACAGTGCTTAGTCTACTGTGGAATCATCATTGTTCGTGGGGGACCAATGTTCGTGGATTTCGTGGGTCACCCGTACCCACGAATTTACATCCCCACGAACGTTTATGTGTAATCATATTAATTCATTAAATCTACCGTATAAACGAGTAACCCACGAAATTAAGTCCCCACGAACAAGTAAAATTTTGCTTGCCCACGAACATTGACCCCCACGAATTAAAATGATTCCACAGTATCTGTATTTAACAGTACTCTTCTGAAGACTTTCTCTGCCTTCTTCTTAATGTACATGATCTATTTTTGTTTTGTTTTTTCTTCTTTTTTTTCAATATTAAAAATCTAAAAAAAAATTACTTCAAGTTATTGCATATAGAATTTCTACTTTGAAATAGAAGACATGTTAGTGAGAAAATCATAATTCTTTTAAATACTTTTTTTCAGATTCCACTGGACCACCCCCTCCATCAGCTCCTGCCCCACCCCCAGCCCCAGCCCCTCCCCCTCCAGCTCCTGCACCTCCCTCTGGTGGTGCTCCTCCTCCACCACCTCCTCCCCCACCACCACCACCTCCCCCACCCCCTCCACCTCCAATGTAAAGGAGGGATGAACCCTCAAAGTGCAGGAGGCTTTGAACAAGGAAGGACATATGTGCAATGTTACCCTAGATACAAAGACATTCCAAGTGTTTCAAAGATTTGAGCCTATAATTCACAAACTCTTTATCAGCCTTTAATGCAGCTTAATTCAAAATAAGAACCATGAAAGGACATTTACCTGAAGATGCTGATGTTGATGCGAAAACTACTTTTGTGTTACCCAGGCATCACCGTATACACAATATTAGCTATATATATTAACTTAATTCATTACATATCTGTGCCAAATGATGATATTGAACAATGTTACAGTACTGCAGTGAGTTTAAAATAAATATATGTATGAAGACCGACTTTGTTTTCAAATTGTTGTTAATTAACATCTGTTTCGTTGATGTTTGTTGATTTGATCCCAAAAATCTATCTTCTTCTAAATACAGACTGGTAGTGTGCAATGTTTTTGACATTACTAGCTTTTAATTAGCAGATCTAGAGTTATTATCATAAATACTGTAGATCACTAAATTTTCGTGACACTTCATTTTCGCGAGATGGCCATATACTCTTTATTAGCGAGACAAAATTTTCACGAATGGTGGTTATCGATCGCTGTATAGAATCTATAGGAATACTAATGTATGAGAGAATGATATTTTTGCAACCATACTGTCTCGCGGAATTACGCGAAAATAAGTTCTCGCGAATAAAAAGTGATTTACAGTATATTAAAAGACACTTCAATTATAAGGAATTTTTTGAAATGCTGTGAGATCAATCGTATTATCCTCCACTTGTATAATAAATATCATGATTCGAATTTGAGTTATTGCATTACATGGATTATTCAATTTAAATGTGACTTGTTCCTGTAACCCAAAAAACTTCAGTCATCATTTACTTCAATAGTGAATAAGGAATTCGTGAAGAGTACACCAGTTTTTGCAGGTCATAAAGTGTCAGCTAGATTGATGGACACTGGGTACTGTTGGGCACCTGAACATTTATGCAGGACCTTTTTACTTTGCGCAGGGATAGAAATGCAGACTAGTACTTGGAACTCAGTTGCCGAAGTGTGTCATGCTTTTGTGCTAAGTTCGTTCAGAAAATTGTTAGTGCATGAACCATAATATATTGCAGGTCCATTAATTTTGTAATGAAAGGGTTCAACAGGCTTATATGGATACAACTTGGATTGATCATCTAAAGTACAGGGTCAGCTGGTTTCGTTAATGATTTTTTTTATTTGCCGAATTGTTAATCAATGAAGATGACATTAGATTTGTTTGTTTGTTATTTATTTTGATAAACTTTTTAAATATATAAACAGCAAGCACTTACAACTGACAATTATTAAATATTGGTAACAATAGTTAAAGCCTTGATCTGCAAAATCTAATCATTATGAACTGAAAAAAAAAAAAAATATAGATTAATGCACATTTAAACTCACATCTGATTAAATATAAAGATATTCTTAAAAGAATTCTATACAATACAAAATAATGCTTTTAAAGTTATATAAAAGAAGTCGGTAAATATTTAATACTCTAAAATATTAACAAAAATTAATTCTGTATTGCAATGGTTACTCAAAGTAACGGGGATATTAGAATACATAACCCATTCATCTTTATGTACATTGAATGCCTGTGTACTCGTAGTTAATAACAATGACTCGAAAATATTTCATTTCATGAATATGCATATACATACATGTATTTACATTTTAATTTCAACCATAGGAGATCAACAGTAAGAGCTTTATACTCCCGAGAATCAACATTATTCAATACGTACACTCGGTGTTAAAAAGACGTTATTTGACTGAGATTTTCTTTGAAAAACGTATTCATTGTATATAATCTTACGTCCCTCCATAAACTTTAGTTTTCTCGAATATCGGTAAAGTGGTCATCTCGACAGGATATGTTATCCATTTCTTCCCAACGATCAACTTATTAGTCTCGAGATCTTTCCAAATTCCATCCGGAAAATATATCTCTCTTGATGTTTTACCTTCACAGAGAACAGGGGCAATTAGATAGTTATCCCCGATAAGGAAAGAATCGCCAACACTCTTGGCAATTTTATCCATCGGATCAATCCACCAGACTGGTCGAATGATGGGCATTCCAGCTTTTATGTCCTCCATCATTGCTTCAATCGCCGGAGACACATACTGCTTATGTCTCTGTGCAGCCTTTCTGGCGAAATTGACGAGGTCACTGTCGTACTTCCACGGTGGGGTTGAATATTTCATACCAGGAAAGAAGGTAGCCATTTGTATCCATCGAACATAAAGATCTCTTGGAAGAAGTTCGTAGGTTTTATCCTCGGGATCGTACTTTTTATAGCTTATTCCATCCGCCATTACATAAGGGTATCCCATAAGGCCAAGTGCTAGACCTACAGGAATGGTTCCTGTTAGACAGAGACCATTTTCCGTCTGTTGAACCTTTGTTCGAACAGACACAAAGTAAGGAAGATTTTGAGTATGTGAGGTTCCTTCGATGATGTCTGCATTCAATTGATGAAAAGAAACCAACATGTGTGTGAATTCTTTTTTCAGTTGATTTGGAGTTACGTCAGGTTTATGAAACGTAGGGTGGAATGGCAACCAGGTAGGTTTACCATACGTCATTTTGAAAGACTTGATTTTATATCTGTCAGCCAGGGTCATCATTTTCCCAGTGATCCATGACTTAGCAGCAGGGTTAGTCACATCTAACATTGCCATGACATCGTCATTCCACTGAACAAGAGCTGGAACTCTGCCACTGGCATCAAGGATGAAATGGTCCTTTGGATGTCCTTCTGTGAAACTGTCGGATTTATAATCAAAGTATGGATTGAATGATACTGTGAGAGAACAATCAGCTGTCGAAGACACAGTAGATTGCAGAGTGGAAATGTTTGGAAACCTTTGTTCATCAAAAGTGAAATCCCCTTGAATGTCTTCCCACAATCCATCCACCACGATTGAACCACACAATATGTTATGCTTCCTTACGTTATTGGCAATGCTGAGGACATCCACCTCTGAAACTGTTTTGGAATCTCTATCTCCTTTTGTTGACCAAAGTGGACTTGTGTAGAGCAGCTTTGTTGGTAAGCTACTAGGTCCAGGTTCCAAATTACTTCTGAAGTATTTATGCGCAGATTTGGGATCATTCCCATTACAAATCGTGTAATTGAGAAACCTCTTTTTGTCAATATTTGCTTTGAATCCATAGAAATCACCAGTATAATTGGAAGTGATGCACCATGACCCTTTGTTCATTGTATTCCAAAGCATTACTAAAGGGATATTATCGCTGACCAAAAGACCGTTTCCATTTTCTGAAAGCCAGTAGTTTTCAACCGCCGAATTAAATGTTCCTGCATCAAAGTTTTGGGAATAAGAGGCTGAGAAAGTGAACTCGGTGTCACGAGTGATAGGCCATTCGGGATGTGTTTGATTTGAGGGTCCAAACCATGCCTGGTTTCCGATATTGTAACAATCCAAAGGATAAAGTTCTGCTGAAATAGATTCCCATGAGATATTATAACATTTCATTTCAGGGGGTGAAAAATAACTTATTCTTAAGATAGCACTGTTTTTCCAACGCAAACATTGGAATTCTTGTGTCTCTACCTCACCAAGGCAGTGAGTAGGTTTTTGCCAGGATGGGATTTGATGTCCAAGCGTTCCATAAAGTGAATCCCTTTCGCTTGGATCAGAAAGGGTTATCCGTTTGGAATTGGCCTCGAAGAAAATTCTTTGACTTATCATTTTTTCCTTCCTTGCAATGTTGTGGAAGTGCCATCCTATACTCACAAGGATTATAATGAAGACTAGTAACGCTGAAACTCCCAAGTGTAACCGGTATTTTTTCAGAATTTCTCTCTGTTTGCCAAACTAAAAAAAAAAGATATAAAATATAAAACACTTATTACCAATTACAAAAGTAATTAATTGTATCAATCCATCTTTTATTAATTGCCATTTGAATACATGTACTTCCCATGGATCCCTTATTACCCTGCTGAAGACGTTCAAAATAAAGTGTTTTTATAATGGGTATCTTCACATAGTTCACCCATATAAAACGTCCATGTTAATATTTTCATTATCACTTTGTGTTGGTTACAAAGACATTAGTCTTTCTCCTGTTTACAATATGAATGACTGAATTTATTTTTTGATAATTAGTTTTATATTACATGTATTTGTTAAAATAAAATCATTGAAGAAAAAATGTACTTGTCCGTAGAAAGCTTACTTGAAGCAAGCTCCAGTAAATTCAAACATAAATAACAATCAACTTTACCCTTTTCTCTCGCATGTGTTGTTGGGAGTAGTGCTTTTGAAGATCTAGAATCTGTCCTAGCTTTTCGCTGGTCAATGCAATTGAATCCTTTCTAAGATGCTCTGCCAATTTTGAGTGTTTATCCTCAATGTCGTCTGAGTTTCCATTCACTGGAGCCTGTCTCGTTTTCGATCCTTTAAGGATGCCTTTAGTTTCGTATCCCATATTATCACAATTTCCATTTGATTTCTTAGTGAAGCCATTCAGATCTTTTTCTTGAATATCTGGATAGACCCTCTGCACTTGGAATGTTACATTATCTAGGTATGTATCGTTGTCAAAACCACGATTAATGTATCCAATATCAGATGGATCCCCTTCGAAGCTCATTTTTCTTGGAGTTACACAAGGAGTGTCAGTTTCAAACATCACTTGTGACGAATCGTCCTCTTCAGGGTTTATTTGGCGAATATGAAGAGTCCCGGACTCCTCATCAAAGCTGATTTGACCAATATTTCTGTCGGTCTTAACTTCTGGATTTGAACACTGTTTCTTCAATAACCTTCCGGCTGCAGAATCGATGTTGATTCTGCGAATGTTTTTTGAGTCCAGGCCAGTGTCTAAGCTAATTTTTCTAATTGGCATGTTATCATTTCTTATTTTTCTCAATGTTGGCATGGCTGTATCAAAACTGACTTTTCGTTTTGGTTTTGTTTCGTCATATATTACGTCAGAAGGTTTGTACCGCGATGAATCATGACTAATTCGCCGAGGCCGTGTTTCGTCGTAAATAACCCCAACTGAATGGGGATTGGGCATCAAATTGCAAACCTTATCTTCTTTTTCTTTCGATTCGTCGTGATCCTCTGTGTTTTTATCTTCAAAGTCGATCTCGGTCAGTTCTAACCGCTCTTCAGGCGACCCAGGGAAAGATGAAAGCGTAAATCTTGGCAAATTGTCTTTTTCATCCTCATCATTGGATTCAGGAGGGGAGATTTTGTTCAAATTCTCCATGCTAATTATGACCCCAGACCTACGCTTTTTTGGTTCAGCAGATGGACTTG